GAGGACACCTTAGGATCCCGGACATATGAGCGCATGTTACAGTTACATCCAAAGTGGCAACTCATGGAGACTCATGAATTACTACAGCTGCTTAGTCCGGATATCCAGGAGGCCCAGATTCGTTCGACTCAACGTTTAGTCGATCGTCGAGGTCACAATGGGGACTCAGCCCGGGGGAGACGACGAATATCAAACCTAGCCCGCACATAGTCCAGTGTCAGAGCAACAATGGCAACAACGCTCGACTCCAACAACTAACCCAACGACGTGCAACGGTCGCCGCGCACAAGCACTTCCAGAGTTGCGATACATACCGCGCTGCCATCATTACCGAGCGTCCCAACATGGGGGGCAGGACGTGAAGACACGGACGTCAGACACTAGTCAGCAGCAGAGAGTGGTGACAATGGGACAGTGATATACGCTACCACAGGGGTCCGTGCACCAACCGCCACAATACCCAAGCCGACAGTCGGATTCTAGATACCTACGATACCGCAGGTTAATGTGCTCACACATGAGGAGGGTCCGGGACACGATAGTCAGTCGACCACAGAGTAACACATACACTCCATCCTAACCAATGATATCGAGCAGGCCGTGGATACACAAACAGACACATCGCAGCCCCAATGGACTCCGATAACAGAGCAACACTAAGACCTCAGGGTGTTCGATGATGCTATGTAGCATTTACGTTCACGCATCCATAGACTGCTATCCTCCGACAGGTACATTCCGAGCGTTGATAGATACAGGTGCGAACCGTAGTTGCATCGCACGAGCACCCGCAGACCTTTTAGGACGACCAATTATATCAGCACCCAGCGATTCATTTATATATTTGGCGGATAAAGCGGTACGCACTCCTCACCTGGGGACAACAGAAGTGCTACCGATACGTTATGGCTCAGAGATCATCAATGGATTGTTCGAGTTGATGAATCTCCCTACCAGCATCGACATTATACTCGGGCTCGACATGATGACGGACCTCGGGCTATATATTGGCGGAATTCAGTCACCACTCGCACCTGTCGACCCAACGGAACTAGATGAACTCCTTACATTCATGGCTCGGCGCCAAGCCCCCAATACCATCGAACCCGACGGCGTATGGACAAGGCTGGCCGCAGTGTTAAAAGCAAACGCCGACATTGCAGACAATGCACGTTGCCGCTTAGAGGGGAGTGAAGTGATAATACCGGTGACACGCGAGCAGGCTAGGAGCATGAGACGATTGATACGCAACTTTGTATCTGAGTGATGGTTACCGTCGATCGATGAACAAGTACAGAAGTGGTTGAAGGACCTAGTGATTACGAAGCGGACCACTCCCACGACGGTTAATCTTCCCTTACTCGCAGTTCCAACGTTTGATAGTGAGGGTAATGTGAAGAAGGTACGCGTATGTCTGGACATGCGAGCGGTCTACGCATTGATTCCAGGAGACCAGTTCCTGATATCGAAGGTGAATGAGATCATTTCACGACTGAAGAGCAGGAAGTACTATACCACACTCGATATATCAGCAGCATATCATAGACTACCGATACACCCGGATTCTAGATACCTATTTAGTTTCACACACGATCGATACCAGTACTCGTATACATCGGCACCTTTTGGGTTGCACGTATTGACGCAACAATTCCAACGGACACTCAGTACGATACTAGATGGACTACCAGTCCACCTCTACATTGACGATATTGTGATTGCCAGTGATGATTACGAAGAGCATATCGCTACAGTGAAGGAGGTGATCAGAAGACTGGCGTACTACAGTCTCAAACTGAATCCAGCGAAGTGTCACTTTGCACTTGCAGAGGTTATGATACTAGGCAAGAAGGTTTCAGCGGCAGGGATTGACGTTGACTTTGAGAAGCAGGCTAAACTCCTCGACTGGCCAACACCTCAGCGATACAAGGACATTGCCTCCGCGTTGGGGTTAGCTGACTTCTTGCACGAACACCTACCCAATTTCGCACACATGGTAGCGTCCCTACGGAAATTTTGCAAACTGAAGTCGAATGAACTGATCGAATATAGGTGAGAACAACGCCATTCGGACGCGTGGAAAGCAATGAAGGCCGCAATAGTTAACGCGGTCGCATTACATCACGGTGGATGACGTCCCCCTCAACCTCGAGACGGATGCGAGTGACTACGGACTAGGAGGAGTACTGTTTCAGTGGGTAGAGGGCAAAAAGCATTACCTAATGTTTTCCAGCAAGACCCTCAATCAGGCTCAACAGAACTATGCGACACCAATGAAGGAACTACTAGCGTTAGTCTACGGGTTGTCACACTTCCGCGACTACCTCGACGGCCAACGTTTTGCGGTGTATACGGATCATGAAGCATTAGTATCTATGAATACCCAACTGAAGCTTAATCCCGTGCTACAGAGGTGGCACCATATCATAGCGCCCTTCAACTTCACAATTTCACATATACCAGGGGAGAGGAATGTCCTACCGGATATGCTAAGTCGCATACATGAAGGGACCGCGGAAACAGACGTGCCAGAGATCATATATGCAGACTGTTGGCAATTATTTCCCAGCTACTTTGAACAAGCACAACGTATCTTTGAACACAACAACATAGACGTGTTCGCAGCACCCCACAACGCGCAGCTTCCCAGGTTTTGGACAAAGAACAAACGCGACAGCGCGTTTGATCATGAATGGGCGTTGGTCGACGGGTGGATGAACCCGCCGTGGAAGTTGATACACCGCACGCTTCGGAAGATCAGATCGGACGAGGCTACAGCGACGGTGTGCCTACCTTGGACTCCTCGCGCACCATGGTTTGACCTTTCAAATCATTATTGCAAGCCGAGCCAGTGTTAGTACCCCGGACCCCGCATACATTTTAAAGTATGCGAAGTATGCCGGTGGGAAGACTCTATGGGGGCACACGGTGGTTGCACGAGTGGGGCCGCCGTCAGGATCCCAGCTTGCCGAGAACTTTTCACAAAGATTGGACTATGCTGAACCTCGACACACACCACACCATCAATGTTTGGATACTGCACGAGAGATTTCCGTGGCGTTAACTAGTGATGCGGCAAAATCGGCCTTTGCGAATGACACATCGATGGAACAACAACGGCGTACACAACTCACACAGGCACAGCATGAGCAAGGCCACCGCGGCGCTGCCGATGCTGTCCAACAATTACTACAGAATGGACACGTCTGGCTGGGAGCATTAGAACTGGCTACAGATATTAAGCGGCAATGTAGACGTTGTTTGGGCCAGGATAACCTGCGTAAAGGTTTCTATCCGATGATGAGCATTGACGCGAAGTACCCTTGGGATCACATTCAGGTGGACTATATTACAATGCCGGTAACGTCCATACGTCAGAATAATTTGTCCTCCTTGTATTAGACGTGGTTTCTGGCTATTCGATCTTACGTGCCACACCCGATAAGACTAAGGAAACTACCGCACAGATGTTGTTGTCTATCTTTGGCAAACATGGATTCCCTCGCAAGCCACAGTTAGATATGGGTACTGAGTTTACTAACAACATGGTCGCCCTCATTGTCAAGGAAGTGGGTATACTTCACAAAGTATCACCACCTTACAGACCACAGGTGTTGGGGGCAACGGAACGCCGACACAAGGAGATACCACGTTCGATACGCATCGTCTGCGAGGCAGTACCCCAAGCATGGGACGAGCGTCTATCTTTTACAATACTGTACCCGAACTTGCGCATCTTCCGACGACACAAGAGCGCGTCGTTTAGTGTTTATTTCGGCCGTCGACACGTTCCGTTTGCGGACTTCACCGATGACGTCCCAGAGCAAAACCGGTTACCAATGACACGTGGGCACATCGGTTGGACCAGCTCCAGGATACCATTTTGCCTACGCTGCATAAGATCACTACAACCTATACGGATAAATTGACGAAGACGTTTGATCGGCTACACGCCCATAACTTAGTCCACTTTTATGAATGCGATGTAGTGATGGTGAAATCGGAGGGGCGAACTTACAAAGCCATGCGCCCACTGTTTGGCCCGTATGTAGTTAAAGGCCGCAACGGTCAAGGTTATGACCTTACACATAGAGATGGGTCCACTCCCCATGAGTTTAAGGAGAAGCCGGTACGGGTTGAGTTACTACAGTTGGTTCACTGCAGTACAGACCCACCGTTGAACGTGATCTTTGGCAAAAAGGCGGGTCAGCATTCCGTCACATCATCTCACATAGGACAAATGATGTTACGGGTAAGCTAGAATACCTGGTACGTTGGCGTGAGGGTGTGCCGACGTGGGAAACGGCCGAGGCCTTTAACGACGCCAATAACATTGTGGCATTTCATAAGGATACACAGACACGAGCTCGGAAACGCCGGAGAGACCAGTTATAGTTAGAAGATACTTTGATTTGTTTAATATATATAGTTTTATGATACGTTTACTTACCGTTTAGTCACCAGCTCGAGTGGTGAACAAATAACCGAGCCATCTAGCTCTCTGAGGATAAATACCAGCAAGCAACCGCTTTCAGGGCATTCCTTTAATCTTCCGGGCATTCCTTTAATCTCTTAAGCTCGCACACTTATAGTTTTTCAGTTTGGGGGGGGGGTGGGGGGGGGTGGGGGGGGGTAGACGTACGACGTACGTACTTAGTTAGTTTAGTTAGGTTAGGTTAGTTTAGTTTAGTTAGTTTAGTTTAGGTTAGGTTATAGTAGTTACGTTACGTTA